AAATGGCCTCATCTGATTGAATTTTCAAAAACAAGATGACTACACCTTTTTCAATTGTAATTCAGAAAGTATAAGATGTAATTCAGAAAGTGTAACCTGTAATTCAGATTAGTTAATTGTAATTCAGAAAGCGTAATATGTAATTCAGATTAGTTAATTGTAAATCAGAAAGCGTAATATGTAATTCAGATTAGTTAAATGTAATTCAGAAAGTGTAACTTGTAATTCAGAATAGTTAATTGTAATTCAGAAAGCGTCAATTTTCCATGAAAAATGTGCTCAACCATTGAGAAATATGCCTGATGCGACCTGCCCACTCTGCAGAATTCTGATCACTGGAGATGTTTTACTCGAGAGAAAAAGGTTAGTTATTGGAGTGAATGGAGAATTCATCAATTATTTTTCTCAGATATAAGCAGCATAGTACGAAGGATAGGGAAAGAATAGTAGCATGCGCCAACAAAGGTGATGATTGGATTGCCTTAGCCGAGTCGCTGGGGGTACAATACAAGACTGCATTCCATTGGGTACGATCTGGACGTGATATTATGTTGCCAAAAGGAGGCATCAAGCCTAAAATCCTCACAGATGCAGAGATCGATACTATTATCTCTTGGGTGGAAGATGATAATGGCTTCACGTTGAAGCAATTAAAAACTAAAATTCATCAACACTTTCAGAAAGACTTATCAGTTACTACGATCGGAAACTATTTAGATGGCAGGTTGTTCACGGTGAAACAGTTTCACAATGAAGTTGTGACAATGAATAATGATGAAAATAAGAATAAACGAGAGCATTATGTCCGAACACTGAATGAATATATTCATGAAGGCAAACAGATCATCTGGATGGATGAAACGAATTTCAACCTGTTTTGCCGTCGAACAAGAGGACGTGCTCGTAAGGGAGGTAGCAGAGCCATACAACAGCTTCCTCCTGCAAGGGGACCCAATGTTCATTTGATAGGTGCAATATCGGCAGCAGGTGTAGTGCACTTTGAGAGGAGGAGAGGATCTTTCACATCCGATTTAGCCAATGCTTGGGTGCTAAGGTTATTGCAGCTATGGCAAGCTCAAGGAAATCAATTATCGGATGTTGTCCTTGTATGCGATAATGCACCTTGCCATTCCAGATTTGAAAACGTTCTGGGCGGAACTGAGGCAAGGCTTCTCCGTTTAGCTCCATATTCCCCAATGTTGAACCCAATCGAAACAATATGGTCCAAAATAAAGTGTCATGTAAAAGTAAATCTTCGAGTACCACAAGTTGAAGGTCCGGGTGTTGGAGAACATCGACTTGTTTATCTTGAACAGAGTATTGGAGGTGATTGTGCTAGGGCTGCACAACACACCACCATTCACCATGCTGCAGCTCTGGCATTTCAAGATATGCCCGTTGGTCGATAAATATAAAATAGTGATGGGAATGAGAGAAATATGTATATTTACCAATAAAATATTGATGTTCACCACAAAATAAACCATTCGTTGATTTTTATTCCCTACCCTTATTCAAGTCCATAGTATTTATGAATTACAAATTACGCTTTCTGAATTACAATTATCTATTCTGAATTACAAGTTACACTTTCTGAATTACATTTTACTAATCTGAATTACATATTACGCTTTCTGAATTACAATTATCTATTCTGAATTACATATTACGCTTTCTGAATTACAATTAACTAATCTGAATTACAAGTTACACTTTCTGACTTACAATTCACTAATCTGAATTACAAGTTACACTTTCTGAATTACAATTGAAAAAGGTGTAGTAGTCGAATGGCTGACAACGAGTTTTATTTCCTCTCCATAATAGATAATTTCGATGGAGAGGAGTACCATTTGTGCATGAATTATGTGCCTCAAGTATTAATGTCTTGTCCAGATTAGACATTTTGTCATAATTCCTATCCAACAGGACTATATCCATAGTTTGAGGGACGAGTTGTTGATAATAATGAGGGTGAAAGTGAGCTAATAAATGAATATAAAGATCAGAAAACAACTCCTATTCTGTATAATTGCGAAAGACCTTGTATCTGGCGTGAAACTATTGTTGTTAGAGGAGGAAGTGCATCTTTTATATATTCAGTAACACCTGATTTCTCACCTGGAAGAGACAGCGCATTTGGCAAATCTGGGGAAGAAATGACAGATTTGGTCATTCCATTTCCACCGAACTTCTCGTTTATGATCTTGATCATAGTTTTTGAGGCAGATATAAAATCCACCAGACTATCTAGCATATCTATCCATGCTTTATTTTCTTCTTGATCAAATTTCTTTGCTTCTCCTTCCCTGAAATTCATGTTCACAAGAATTTTGAAAATTTGTAAATGTCAATGTCGAAACTGATGCCAATTGCGTCAATTCGATAATAATACCGCAGGTCCATTAGGATTGTAATGTACAAAGCACACTTGTGACAAAGCACACGAGTCGAGTGGGCATTTTTTTCACTTTTATGATCTATTTCCTTTCAATATCAATTTTAGGTATATAGAATGTAGAGGGAAGTGCACAAAAAACTACCACGATTGTAACTTTCGAATTATTCCTGATAGGGTTTTGAAAATTGGTGGTTAGAAAGTATACCAAATTGCTAATCAATTGATGGAATACTTTTTTCTTCATCACTTCCAGTTTCACCGGAATTGACCCCAACTTTTGATTTTCATGTGGGCACTCTGTATTGTATTCCATGATCGGTTAGGGATTATCATGACGAATTCAACGATACCGGGTTTGATAGTATTACAAAGATATTTGCGTTCGAAGTTTCCATATGCTCGATGGGTGTGACGCAATATCAAAACTTCTTTCTCTATCACACTCATTGAGCATATGGAAACTTAGAACGCGAATATCTGCGTAATCGTTCGAAATAACCCTATGAAACCCGGTATCGATGAATTTGTTATGACAATCCCAAACTGATTATGGCTCATAATACAGGGTGTCCGCTTCAAATATCTAAAAGTGGGGTCGTTTCCAGTAGAATCGGAAATGATAGAACAGAAATTGTTTTGTCAATCAATGAGCAATTTGGTATACTAGCTGCTCACCAATTTCCAAAACCCTATATCGAATAATTGAAAAGTAACAGTCCTGGCCGTTTTGTGAACTTCTCTGTATTTTAATAGGCAGTGGAACAATCACGCCTACTCATTGATGACAACACCAAGCAATAAGTAGTGATTATTTTGAAAATATCCCAAAGAAACGCTCACGAATGGTGATAGCGACCGGGCGTCATTATCTGATTGGGCGTCATTGTTATTTTCAAAGTATTCCCACTGAATTACGTGCATCAAGTCTAGCATTCCAACGAGATATGAAGAGTAGTTTCCAACATCATAACAAATATACAATATTTACAAGAAATAATAATGAAATTACGAAGAACTTTTTTGTCCGAGCAGTTTTTGAAATAGTGATGTCCGTGACCAAGATCCTTGAAACACATCACGTAATTGGCATGATGACGGCTTCAGAGATCATTTACGCTTTGTGTGTTCCTATTGGTTACTCTATGTGTGCGTAAGCCGTGACGCGGCTTACTCGAATGAAACGCACGTTGAGGACAGTAGTGTAACAGCTCAAAAGATTTAATTTTTGAGTTAGAACCGTCGGATAGCAAATTTAGAGCTCTACAATTGTAGTATATCGTGACATCTCTAGGTCCAATAGCTGCTGCGTGACATCGATGGTCACGATATTGCACTAGAGGAGAAGTAGGTCCTATAGTCCTATACCACCGAGCAAGAAAGTGACTTTTTGCGTTGGCACCTAAACTTCGCAGGATACACCTTGTATTCTGACTTTGAGGACATTTTTATGATAAATAAGCTGACAAGTCATTAAGTCACCTCATTGTTCAAACACAATTTGAAATTTTTTGAGTTGTCACGTTATTACATTTTCATCATTAAATGAAATGATACAACAGATTTTTGAGTTGTTATGTAAGCAATATGGAATGTTTCGATTTGTCACATTATTGCATGCGTTGCACTTGATGAAATGGAATAGGTAATACGAGTTTTTGCAGGAGGATTAAAAAAATAGCTACAAGAAGATAGCCCTCAAAAATAAAAAGAAGAAATACTAAACTAGAATGAAACTTCTCAATGTATGTAATTCAAATATGTATCTTTGCATGAAATATCACCTTATATGTTTAAATTCCAATTCCGAAAAATATATCATAGTTCCTTCGGATCAAACATTTGTAAAAATGTGTGTTCAAAAGAGTACCCAAGAATAGATTCAAATTCAAATTTAATTCATTTCAGTTATTTCCCTCTTTCAGAAAATTGACCTATACCTTAATCGTGATTATTGACACTTCTCTTTCCAAACTATGGCATTTCAACTTCATGCGAATTTTCACTGAAACTTGTTGCTATTCAACTCAAAATTTATCTTTCGAAAATACCCGTTTGTTCCTATTCAGAAACTAAAGAAAATAGGAAAACTGCCAAAAGAGAAATGTCCAACAACCGAAGGACACGATTTGGATTTTGCAACTTTTATTCGGGGAGAGGGGGGAAAGAGAATACATGAGTCATAGACTTTCGTACGTAAATTAAATGAAGAATGACTATTGACATCTAATGTAATAGGTATAATAAAAATGATCGTCATTTTCGCTGCTTCTTTGGAGTTTGTATTATATAATAATAAAATCAGTTGAAGAGAAAATCATATTTTCAGTTGAGGTTAGAAAACAAGAGTCCTAAACATTTGGGGTGAGCTGAACAATATTTTTGGGTGGGCTTATGGTATGGAAAATCCACTATGAGGTATGATGAGGTGGTACTTCACAACCACCCTGTACAGAAAACCACAAGTACTCTACTTGCACCTCATTACACCAGACAACTACTCATTTCTCTCGCGTTCAATTCTTTCAGATAATTTTAGAATCTGTACGGTTACCAGTTTTAGATGCTCGACATCATCATTCGATGTTGATTCAGTTACTCGCGTACAACTGCTTAGAGCGTAGAACGATCCATGTTCTAATAAAATCTCGCGGGAAATATATGATTTTCAATGAGAATTCAATTCTGATACCTAATATAAGTGGAAATGACAAATTGGTAGCTATATCTTGTTGATTTGTCCGATGAAAAAATAGAAAGAAAATCCAAATCCAGATCATCAGTAGCAGTTGTTATCAGTTGGAGTTGTAAACTTGCACAGTACCTGATACAGAGGAGTTGGACTAACGTACATTTACACGATAAATATCTTTTGACAATCTAGATATGAACGGTAAAGGCTTGAGAAGGAAAAAATCAGCGCTCTGTGAAGTAAAAGTGGCAGTAATAGGTGGCCCTGGCGTTGGAAAAAGCGGTGAGTTATTAGTGTGCTAGGTAATTTTCATGAGCAGTGGTGCCTGATTCAAGGGCTTCAAGAACTGAGAATAACACAACCGTGGAAAATATGACCAGAAAAGAATTAGTTGCCAAAAATATATTCGGGATTCTACTCAATATTCTGATATACCTTTCTATCCGACCAATCAATCATTTATTTGCAGAAACACACAAGAAATCAAATTTGAACGATGTATTCGTTCAACTTCCAGTTCTTGTTTGAAGAAAACATATTCTTCTCCTGGAATGACAGTCAGTGCATATTTTTCAATTCAAAAATATCAGACTGATGTTTTCATGTGAGTGTAAAACTGCCTTCGATATACCTATTCAAGTTACAACTGTTCCCATCAATTGTTCACCAATATCACTCTCAAACACTAGCAAAGTTTACTATCCACTTTTTCACCACCAACCAAACCGACATATTTAGCGATGACTGCTTCACAAAAAATCGGATTTTTGTCCTATGCGAAATGCTACTTCACATCTCACCAGCTTCTCACAAACTAAGAAGAACAGATAAGGCCTGTTCTGGAATACTGTTCCCATATATGGGTTTCAGCACCTAAACATATGCTGATGCTCTACCAGAGAAGACACATTCGCCTGGTGGCTGATGCCACACTCACTAACAATTTGACATCATTGGAACACCGTAGATAATTCGGCATCCTCTCACTTTTTTATAGATACTTCCGCGGGAAATGTTCTTCAGAAATCTCTGCCAACATTCCACTAGCAAAAACATTCAGACGAACTCGACAAGCCCAGTCATCACATGCTTTCATTGTCAACCTCGAAATATGTCAAACACTTCTTTATCAAAACTCGTTTGTCTATCGAACGTCAAATCTCTGGAATTCATTGCTTTAGGTAGTATTGCCAAGAACTTATAACCTTCAGAAGTAAAAAAAAATCCAATACACCTTTTCTCCCTATCCTTCCTAGGGACGCACCATGTTCTTCAAACATTATAGGGAATCCCTTTCGTGCGCTCCAATCTATGAAAATACTATGTTAGCATCTTCAGGAAACGATTGGAACAAGATTTATCACCCAACTGTGAACGACATTGAAATTCTCTGTCATGCTTCGGGTCCTCATGTTAATCCCAATCCAAAATCACTAAACTATACAGAGGTCTATATGAAATAGGTCTATTATCCTCATTCATCACTTCATTAATTTCCTCAAATAATTCCAGACATTTATATGCATTATTTCAGATAAGACACCCTAACGTACACATATCGAATAAGATTGACACCTTTGGCAGGATAATACACTACCCTAGCTGTTTTATCACTAACCAAACCGATTTTTTAAACGAGGCGTTTCGTGTTTCGCTAACTATGTTAGCATCTTCAGGAGAAAACTGACCCTTACATACGATGGATGTCCACATTGGTACATCAGAGTCGTATTATTCAACACCCAGGTGCTAACAAGAAAGCACCGCTTCTCAGCGTGATAACACTTAAAAAGGGTTTTTTCACATCAGAAAAATATCCGACAAATATTCGTATATCATATATTATCAGTAAAAGCAAAAACGCAACAGTTGAAGTCTCAAAATAATCTCCGAATGATAGTATAGTACACCACATTGGTGTTTAAAAAATCGAACCGTTGATTCTCACTGGAACAATCAGGACCTCATCAGGGGACGCCCAAGGATGTTTGTTAGATGATGTGAACTGGTGTTATTGTTTTTCTCACTGTGTGTATTCAGATTATTCATGAAGGAAGAACAATCCTCACGGAAAATGAGATTACCCATAGATTAGACCATAGTGTTGATCACGTACCTATTCTAGTTGGGAGGTAGAAAAAATGTACAACAGATTTTCGGGAAACTAACTTTGAAACCATTGAAGTCTACCATTTGAAAATAGACAGAAAAATTTGAATTCTTCGAAAACTATCAACTTCTGCATAATGCATATCAGGGTTGAATTCACTCTCTACCACCTCTCCTATCACATGTCCAAAGAAATGTATCGATTTACTATAGAACCCACGTATATGTATATGAGATTATATACAAGTACCTATACTATAGGTCATAACAACTCATCCCAGAAGAAATCTCTGGAAAACATCTCGGGTCAAAAGAATATGGAATTTCACATCTTCTGAAAAACATTTTTTTATAAATTATATAATAAATAATATATCCAAAATTTTTCCATCGAATTGAGAGCATGTAGAACTTTTCAATATTTTCCAGAGTTTCATTGTTTGTCACCCTATATAATTAATTTATCATCAAATTGAGAAAAACCGCAGCCGAATATGTACAGTACCTATCTGATATTCGCGAAAATATTCAATGTGGAATGTAGTGCAAGAATGTGCATGTTAGTTCATACTTTGTCTAAATTTGAAGAATAACTACTTCGCTAACATTTGTGGTAGTTTGGAATTCATCTCGAATGTTTTCGAATAAACAAACATTTTTAAGTGAGAAATAAATCCAAGGCATGCCTGAAGAGTGTACTTGGGATTTAATTTTAACTTACCTTATTTACGAACCTACTAACACACTTTTTATTACATAGATATAAACTCTGAAATATCGCCTCAAGTGGTGCTTAAATATAAATGGACCGCTGTTTTTTTTTTTTCGTTTCTGGCTTGCCATTTGCGATCGGTCACAAAAATCCATCGTTTATTGGATGAGTGATTGAGGTTATAGTCAGAGATGTTGAGTGTTCTTTGCAATGTTTTGTTTTATCAAGAAAAAAAAATATTGGGACCACTGTAGGTCAAGTGTAACTCAGAAATAGATTTGTCATGAAGCAAGGCCATGTGAAATATTTTTAATTTTTCTTCATGATGACAGTTGGTTATATGTGCTTTTGCAAACCATACAACAAAGGTCTTCTGTTTCAGTATATTAAAGATGATGTTATGACAGAAAATGATAAATTCTTCTGGTGGGAAATATGAGAATTCTATCATTGAATTCTGGAAGTATGATGCTCTCAAATGTTGAGAGACCCGCTGACATAGTGGAGGATCGGTGTATGTAGACGATATTCATCAAATATCCCCACTAAAAAAGTCTAGGGGGGTGAGATCTAGTGATCTTGACGGAAAAAAGATTTCCCCAAATTTCGAAATAACAGTTCCTAGAAACAATTCAAGAACAATGTGCGTTAATACTGCTATCTGATCTTGCTATTATTTTCATCATCAGAAGGAACTAAGCACCTCAGAAGGATGTTCGGAAACTGATATATTGATATACTATTTTCCTACGAGCGTGTGGAAAAGTGACTTTTACGCATGATTATTCATTTTGAAAGTTCCGCACGATTTCAAAGGAATTACCAGGAGACATGTAGTGATGGGACCAGAACGTATCCATAGCAAAACAGTCGCTATATACAGTGTGTCCACCTTAAGGACTTACCACCCCTGTAAAATCGTTATTATCCGACCAATTTCAAAAAACCATTTTTTGTTGGATAGGTATTTGAAACGTCCATCCAACGAGAGAGTGGTCTAATTCTTGGACTGTTATCGTGGCCAACTGCGACAAATTTCAATGACCCATATTCCAGAAAGTACTATTAGGGATTTTTTTCCACGAAACTTGATAATGGATTCTAAATCAGTACCACTTGAAATATACCTGTACCGATTTTCATCATCATAAAACACAGGGTGTCCGAAACAACGAAATCATCATTTTCTTCAAATAGGTGATCAGAAAATGTATAGTTCTGTGGTTTTTCTAGAGAGAAATAATCACAAATTATCATTGAGGATCATTTCAGATATACCTGTACCAATTTTCGTCATTTGAATATACAATGTGTCTGAGAAAAAAATTAAAAAGAATAAGTAAGCAATATTTTTCATCCTGATAATTCTTCACTCAAAATGAAAAGATGAATCAGAATCACTTGGAACATACCTGAACACAGGGTGTTCTTAAAATCAAATTAATATTTTTTTTGAGTTGATGAAATAATATTGCCTACTTTTTCTTTGTTTTCTCATACACATCGTATTTTGAATGATGAAAATCGGTACAGATATGTTCAAAGTGATCCTCAATAATAATGTGTCATCAATTCTTCTCAGAAATACCACAGCAATACTACATTTTCTGATCACCTATTAAAAAAAGCATAATTCGTTTTTTCGGACACCCTGTGTTTTATGATGATAAAAATCAGTAAAGGTATTTTTGAAGTGATCGTGATTCAGAATCCATCATTGATTTTTGTGAAAAAAAAATCCCTAATAGTACTTTCACAAATATGGGTCAATAAAGTTGGTCGCAGTTGGCCACGATTACACTTCATGAGTAAAATCACTCTCCTATTGGATGGACATTTCAAATACCTATCCAACAAAAAAAAGTTTTTTGAAATCGGTCAGATAATAACAATTTTACAGGGGTGGTAAGTCCTTAAGGTGGACACACTGTATAGTAGTGGCAGTCAACAAATAACGTTTCAGACCAATCTACCTGCCTCCATTCACTACACTAGTAATTCTAAGAAACAAACTGATCAAGGCATTCCTGTAGTGGGCCAAACACTAACCAATCAAATTCAAATAAGAAACGACGTTCTTCATGATGTTGCGGCATCTGCTATATTACAGCATGCAACAAACACAAATCGCACTTTCAATTTCAATATTTACCATCGTTAATGTTTTAGTTATTGTTATTTAAATGTTCTTCAAATAAGTTTCCTAATATATCGATGAAAAAAAAATCAATTTCATTATTTTTCAGTACATGAAAATTTCGTGCGGAGAAGTCACTTTACCGCACTAGTGCTGAGAAGTTACTTTTCCGCGAAATTTTTGTATTGTAGACAAAAAGGATATTTAGGACTAACCAAATGATCCATATAACTATTCTGTCTTGTGTGTCATTTAGTAGCATCATCATAAAATATTCTTTATTGAAAACCTTGTTATTTTCATCAATAATATGGACGAAAACAC